AGTTAATGCAAATAGGAATCATAATCATGATCATGATGATGATGACGATGATGAGGACGATGATGATTACGATGATGATGATAAAGATGAACGTCGACATCATCACCATCATCATCACCATCTTCCTCCTCGTAATGAAAATTCAAAAGATGAAAAAGAAAAATCTCAATTAATGCATATAGGTATTCAAACAGCCTTAGCTATATCCATACATAAATTTCCAGGTAAATATATTATTATAAAAGAATAAAAGTTTCTAATATAATTTAAAGTTTTTTAATTGATGTCATGTATTATATGTATTATGTAGAGGGTCTTGTAACGTTTATAACATCAAAAGTATCACCAACCATTGGTTTTACATTATTTTTTGCCATCGCTTTACATAACATTTCCGAGGGTTTCACCATAGCCTTGCCACTATATATGGCAACACGCTCACGGATTAAAAGTTTTTTATATGCATCTTTGTTGGGTGGATTAAGTCAACCTTTAGGTGCATTAATTGGATATTTATTTTTAAAAGAATCCCAGCTTAGATGTTGGGATCATAACTTTGTTTACGGTACTTTGTTTGCTGCTGTTAGCGGGTTAATGAGTGTTATTTGCGTACAGGTTAGTAAGCAAAAAAAAAAGGATAATATATTTTATTTTATTCAAGAGAGAAAATTTATTAATATTTCCTATATAATATTAGGGTTTATTACCACAAGCAATAAAAAATGACACTTCAAATGGCCATACTGTAACCATATTCTTTTTTATTGGTGTATTAATTATGGGAATAAGTTCTGCTTTATTTGATCATGCAAAGTATGTTCCTGAGTGATCATAATATTCAAATTTATATATATATTTATATATTTCTTTGTAATATAATAAAATTCAAAATTGGTATTTAAAAAATATTTTTTATTTTTTATCTTTAATTTTTTCTTTCTATTTGATTATATAGATGTTTTTTTTCAATGTAAATCATTTTGCAAAAAATAAAAAATAAAAAATCATTAACTCTTTTTATGATATGTTTATCAAAGATGTCTTGCTTCACGTTCGGATTCTAAAAAGACATAAAACATCATTTTCACGAACAGGTCCTTTGACATTACGGATGATAGAACGATTGTATCGTCCATATATTCCAAGTTACCTCTTGAATCGGTATGATCAACTTTAACAACTTTGGCGAGCTTGACTTGTTGTTTAGCATCCTTTTTAGTGAAAATTTTTTAATTGAATGACTAAATTCAACAATAAATAATAACAATAATGATAATATATGATAATAGCATTGGTAGTAAACAGTAATTTGATTGATGGATGGATTGATAAAGTTAAAGATGGAAAATTTTTTTTTTGTTTTACGCTGCGTAAATTTTTTAATGATCGCGTCTTAAAAAGATAAAAATCATGTTCACAGTCAAACCTTTGTCACAGCGGATGAACAGAAAATTTTATTCAAAATTCGTTGTGATTACTAATTATAATTACAATAATATTGCCAGAACAGATTTTTATATATGAGTATGACTGTATAGCTATTGATCAACTTGTATATTTATTTGATACGATAAAAATGTCAATATTGATAGCAATGACAAAGTTTTATTTGAAGACGTTATAAAATATTCCAGTAGAAATTTTATTATTATTATATCTAAGAAATTTTATCATATATGACTTGAGAAAAAATTAAAACCAATTGTCGTATATATATCTTTGGGGTATCTAATTAGCACACGAACACCTCGAGGACCAACTTTGCAATAAAAAAATTAATAAAAATTTTTATTTATTTAATGAATTATAATAATATATTTACTTTGCGACCAAACGCCCCGCTCAGTTAGATCAATACCACCGTCTCCGTTATGTTATAAATTAATCATTCCCATAAATTTCTGTCTCTTTAATCTTATTTAATCAACTTAATTTGTTATTTTTCTAAATGGGGCTTTTGCCCATATAACCTCCTACCCTAGGTTAAAGGAGTGTAGCTCAATGAGAGCATGTATCTCACAAGTATAAAGATGGCAGTTTAATTCTGCCCACTCCTAATGTGATAGTCACCATGATCACTGGCATCAAGGAGAAAGCTGTAAAATAAAATGGTTCAGATTTTGTTTGGTATGTTATAAATTAATCATTTCCATAAATTTTCTGCATCTCTTTAATTTTTATTTGACCAACCGAATTTGTTTTTCGAATGGGGTAGGGTTGTTGGTGAGTAGGCATGTCACTGACAAGGCAGCAACCCAGGTTGCAACCTCCTGAGTTGCAGAATTTTTGAATCAGTTGCAGACATAAACTTTATTTTAGAGAGAGGTAAAACACAAAGTAATCATCACACAAATGCTGATCCTCATCAATGATCAATGCTCATATGGTGACAATCAAGCCTGGTCTGAAAGGGAAGATAAGGGAAATTTTGTCCAAAGCCTTCCAACATGTGTGGAACCTAGTATTTGAAGAAAAATTCATAATTATGAGGCGTGTGAAAGCACCGCATTGCATGTTTGTGATAGGAAAATTTTATTAAATCTGACACCTGTGATCAATATCAGATTTATTATTCATTTTAAATAAATATATAGTAGGAAGGAAAAATAAATTTTTTTGATCCTTTTATTTATCCTTGGGATCTGGGTGGTCATACAATTAAAAGTTTTGTTTCTGCATGGTCTTAGTATTATTTACTACTCGGGTGATGCAATTGTTTGTTATGTCAAGGATAACATCAAATGTATTGAATAATTATTGTGATGAAAGGATTTGTATGTGAGGTATTAATTTCAATAATTCTGAAATCATTTTTTTATTAAAAAGTTTTATTTGTAATGATATTTGTTTTAAAAGTGTAAAAAAAATTTTAAAGGGGTTTTTTTAATTAAGGCTTTTTGATATAAATTTTTTTTTGTTACATTTGTTATATCAATCTCAGTCCAAAATTAATCATATTTATATATTTTAGAATTCTTTTTTGATAAAAAAAAAAATTCAAACATTTGTTTATTTTTTTTTTAGTACATTTCAATTAGATTTTTAGAAATAACAATAATTATCTTTTATTTATTTATATTTATCTGTTTAATTGATCAATAAAATCTCAGGTTTCAAGATAATTTATCTTATCCATTTTTAGTAATAATAAATAATTTTATTTTCACTTTTATATCAATTATTGCTGTATTGAATATATACTTCTGATATTTATTTGCAGATCCACTCAAATTTAATTCTTTTCTGCCTACTTTGCTTGTCACCACAGGACCAATTTCAATTTTAAAATATATGAAAACCTACAAAGTGAACATAAATTTATATATATAGGGATAGGTGTATATGAAAAGTAATAATAAATATAATGGTTCTAATGAATATCAAAAAGCAATTGATTTTTTAGAGGTAATATTATATACAGAAAGGTTCTTTTTGCGGAATATACAGAAACCTACAAATTAGTATAAGATTTTCAATGATTTTCAATTGATAATTTTCAAAAATCACTTATTGTAACAATTTACTTTGTAATCATATACAACGTCTTATGTAGTACATTAATATTTACATCTGGAAACGTGACACAAAATTAATCATTATTTGTAACATCAATTATTTCGTGTCTTTAATTATTATTTATTACTTATCTATGTCCACAAATCTTCCAGATAGATTGATAAGAATTATTATGATTATTTTATTTATATTTTATCAATCTTTTATTATTATTTATATTTTATTTATATCATATCAATCTATGTAATTTTATTATATAAAGGACATCATTTTTAAGATAATAAAGATAACTTGTATTTTTACAATAATTAAAGTACCTGTTCGACGAACGTGTTATAATATTGTTTTTATTTTCGTTAAGAAAAGTAATTCTTACACCCCATTTATTTAAAGTTCAGTTGGTCAAACAAAGATTAAAGAGAAACAGAAAATTTGGGAAAATGATTAATTTATAACATAGCAAACAAAATCTGAACCGTTTTATTTTAGTTTTCTCCTTGATGCCAGTGATCATTGCAACTATCACAATAGGAGTGGGCAGAATCGAACTGCCACCTTTATACTTGTAAGATACATGCTCTCATTGAGCTACACTCCTTTAACTTAGGGTGGGTTACTGGGAAAAAGCCTCCATTTAAAAAATATCAAGTTCAGTTGGTCAAATAAAAATCAAAAGAAAACAGAGAATTTGGGAATATGATTAATTTATAACAAAATCCAAACCATTTTATAACTTTTTCCTTGTTGGCCATATTGCTGACAAAGATATATATAATTATGCAATAATTTTAATCTATAGGACAGAGGACTGATTGGGCAAAAACCCCTACCCAAAATTATAAACCAAAGAAACAGAGCATTTAGGAAAATGATTATACAAACAAACACTATTTTACAACTTTCCTTTTAACATGAGAGTCCAAATGCAATTTCAGGGTCACCAACCCTGCTCTTAATTGTGACCTCCTGAGCTTGAAACAAGTTGCAGATTATCTTGATATTCCTCCAGAGTTGCAATTTTTCAGCCAGCATGCCAGTGGCCATTTCTGGTCTGGGTGCTGTGAGGGAAGATTAGTGAAAAGCATCATTGACTATTGGTGCAGTCTTGATAAACTCCAGGGCCTTGCACCTCCCCCCAGTATTTGGTTGCATCATATCCATAGGGCGGAGCAGGTCAGATTAACCTTTTGTGTGCAAGAAATGCGTGAGGATGACTGTAAAGTGTTCAAAGGCAGCATGAGTGCTTCAATGTCTGCCAATTTCCAATAATCAAACATCACATACTTGAAATGTTTCTTTTTCAATGGTGTGCTGCCTTTACATCTTGTAATTATTTTTTTATTATTATTATTTAATATTAATGTTATTATTAATATTGATTATGAATAGCAAAATATGCAATCTTGATAAGAATCTTATAATTACCAGCAAGTGCTGCTCTGTGTTTGATTCCCATTATAATATTTATGAACTAAAAGACACCACATTATATCAATACAAGTAAAAAAAAGTACCTTTGTCATTAACACATCTTCTTTAGGAAAACCGTGTTTTGTCATTGTTTTTCCAAAAAAAAGGTTGTGTTGACAAAAAAAAAATCATTGTACAACACCAAGTGCCAATAATAAAAATAATTAATGTGTACACATTTGTCAATCAAATAATTCTAATTCTTTTAATTCTTTTGTGCTTTTTTTTTAAAAAATGCCTAAAGAAAGTAAAAAAAGAAAAACACAAAACAATACTGGTGCCATCCACAAGTAAATGTTTATCAAAAGAATGGTGGTGGTGGTTATTGCCACACATTGTAACTCTAGTTTCTTTTAAAAAAGAAGACATAAAAAAAGTATTAGCTAAGGAAAATTCAGAGTCACAATAAAGAAAATGTAAATAATAAAAGTATTTATTTTGATAGTAATTAATTGCTATATATAGAAAAAAAATTTTTCTAATACAATTATTTTCTTTAAGGACAAATTTAGAAGAAAAAAGTATTGGTAAAGATTTTATGTTACAAATGCTGACAAATACACATGAATTTATTTCTATTTATTCCATTGGATGATATTTACTAATCTGTCCTTTTCTTTGATCAATCACCAATCTGCCTTACTATATCACTACTTTATAATCAAGAAATAGTTAAGATCAGTTTTCATCATTTGTTGCATTCCTTCTTCATTTTCTTTCTTTTACAATTTAATATTATTTTTTTAAGTTTTGGCTAATGTGTCCATCCACTTATCTGTTATGGCTTTCCCCTTCAACCCTTCATCATTCATTTCAATCAATCAATTCATATCTTTCAAATGATTGCCAATTCTCCCTTCCTTTATATTATAGAAATGCTCCACGATATCAATAACACTGTAAATTCAATAAGGAGGAGACAAGAGAAAGATGAAGTTTTTACTATTTCTGCCATGAATTCTGTAAAAACACAAAAGTTAATGGCAGTGTATGATATCACAACAGCAGTGGAGGATATAACATTTGATGAAATTTCAGTGATTGATCCCACTCCTGGAGAGTTTTGTGGAGTAGTGTTCTTGTTTATGTAGTGTTTTCAATAGTAATTCTTAATTAAAAATTTTTTTTATTGTACTTTTTATATTTTTTTTAAATAAAAAAAGGTATGGTATATTCTCGGTTTGGTTAAAATTTTTTTTGGTATGTGTTGGGTTTGGATATAAAATTTTGAGGAACAGGTTTGGTATAGGTACAAATTTTAATATCATGTGGGTATGAGTTGGATACAGGTTCAATTATTGTTATCCATGCAGGCCTCTAATATAGAAACTATTAGAAATAAAAATAATTAGAAGGGAAAAAATTAAAATCTATTTTTTATTATTCAATTCCTGAATAACATAGTCAGGAATTCTTCTATATGACTTATACTTTTTCATTGCATATTCAACCAACTCCATGCATATATTTTTGTTCTCTTCTTTGATATCTTCTACATTTTCCCAACCACTATCATCATCATTTCCCCATTTTTCATTACTGTCAATATCATCCAAATTATCTGACTCTTTTTCTTCCTCTTTCTGCATCACATTATCTTCATCATCAATTTTATTATTAATATGACTGACTATACATGAAGTTGAAACTATTTTGACCATTTGCAGATCTGGTCAAAATAGGGTCATTACTATGTATTTGCCTCAAATTGAAACATTTTGACTTTGGGGTTTTAATTTCAACTTCATATATAAATATGACATACTTTTTTGATAAATATTTACCTTCTTCATCTCTTGGTTTATCTCAATTAAAGACACCTGCCATGATTAATTATTTGCTGCAATGGTAACCACCATTATAAAATATTTATGGCTGCTGCAAATAGATACAACTGCTACAAATAGATGCAGCTGCTGTAAATAGATACGACTACCACAGATAGATGTGGTTGCCACAAGCAGATACAGCTGTTATAAATGGCTAAGGCTCTGAACGAATCGAATTGAATCGAATTTGAGAGTGATTTGATTCAATTCAATTCGATCTGTAGTCAATTTGATTTGATTCGAATTCAAAAAAACAGGATTTGGTTCAATTCAATTTGATTCATGACTCGATTCAAATTGATTTGAATCAAACCATATTCCTAAAATTTTTTTAACATCATATCAAATTTATATTTTTGATTTGATAATTTAAATTTATATTACACAGTGAATCTCATTTAGTGTGCCTCCATTTAATGAATACTAATAGATTGAGATCTAAGAATGGTTTAATGATTGATAATAAAATTCTTCTTGATATGATATTTATTCAAATTTTTAATAATTAAAGATTTCTCATTATTAATATTAATGGTCATATGACCTATATTATTAATAATAAGTAAAAAAGTAACGATTTACAGTTGTACAATTCATTAAATCTAAAATAATAAAATAATACTATTTTTTTTTGAATTTTACAATATTTATACTAAAATAAATATAAAATAAAAAAAAATTTTGTAAATAAAATTATAAAATATACATTAAAATAAAGATTTTTTGAATTGTATCAAATTATATATTCAAATCCCTTCGAATCAAATCAAATCAATTTGAAATCGAATCTGTTTGAATCAAATTATATATTCAAATCTGTTTGAATTGAATCAAATCAAATTATATATTCGAATCAGTTTGAATTTCATTGATTCGTTTGGAGCCTTATAAATGGCTATGGCATTGTAAAAGAATTTGTGAAGAATTACTTCAAAACTAATTAAGCACTTTCCTATAAACAAATACTTTAATTGTAGTAAAAATATAAGTTATTCTTTATTCTTTTAAAAATAATAACTTATTTATAATGATAAGAAAATCTCATCTATCTGAATATTCCTATAACTGTTAATTATTTCTTATTTGTGCATTATTGTACTCATGATAAAATGTAAATTGCTACAGGCTGCCACAAACAGATATGGTTGCTGCAAATTTTCTTTTTACACATAATTTCATTGTAAATGAATGACTGACTAATAGTGATGTTAGCCCTTAGCTGGCTTAAATGGCTTAGCTGCCTAAGAACTTAAATAAATCCCAGTTGATGAAAAAACTTTTCAGATGGTACTAAACTTGCTGGTATTATTATTACTCTACTATTTATTATTTTATTACTATAATATTATCACTATTATTTATTTAAAGATGCGATCTGTGGATGGTCAATCTGGATATCCGCAAAACAATCCAGATGGATGGATGGCTTTTTTAAAGTGCTAACAGATTGCGGATTGAAATTTTAGAAATTATAGGATGTCTGGATGATTTGTGTAAATAAAATATCATGTGAATAAAAAAAATTTTTTATGTACTATATAGTACAAATAATAATGTAACATCAAAAAAAAAATTTTTAAAATATATAATACTTTTTATCATCTTTATCTAATTCATTTTTTGATGCTGTTGTTTCTTTACTAGTTTGTAAGATTACTTACAATGAATAATGATAATAACAAATATAATTACAATGGCAATGATAATGGTAATGATAATGAGAGTGAACCTACCTATATAGATTCAGAAGAAGAGTTGGATGGAAATGTATTAAATGTAATTTCTAATGAACAGACTAAAATTACTAAACACAAACTAAAAAAGGTACCATTAAAAAAAAGTTGGGTGTGGAATTGGTTTGCAGAAATAAATTTACCTAGTGGTAAAAAAGGTTCAGAATGCCAAGTACCAATTACAACTGAAAAGACTTGTATGTAACAGATGGATCTGCAGGAAATTTAATTAAACGAATTTTGTTTTTAAAAAGAAATGCAAGTTGTGTTGAATGTATTCACCCACTGAATTAACTTTATAATAAATATAAATGAATTGTCATAAATTACTAGCATTACTACTCTTTTTGTAACATTTTATACTAATATTGCTGAATTATCCGTTCAAACCGCGGATGATCCGTACAATCCGGGTGATCCGTTCAATTTCACGGATGATCCGGATAATCCGTTTGAATCCGACGGATGTATTTTTTGAGCAATTAACGGATTACGGATTGATTTTTTGAGATAAATGACGGATATCCGCGGATCGCATCTCTAAATGCAAACAATGTTAATACAATTATTTCCAATTTATTTATATTTAAATCATAATATCAATTTCCACAAAGGTATATTTATGCTTTCAAAATTATTTTCCACATCATTAAACAATTCTTTATACTAAACAACATCTTCTTTAGATTTTACACTATATATCCTGATCACATTTCTTGTGGGTGCCATTCTAGCCATTTTCCTCTTTACTGCAATTATGTATGATTATTAAAAATTACATTTATTTGTTTATCAAAAATCATTATTTTAGTGTGCATATTTGACATCCAAATTTCAAAATGAAAAGAAAAATCCAAAGATATGATAATTGTGAGAAGTTATTACCTTTATATAATATTATTATTAAACATAAATAATCAAATTAATCTAAATATTTATATCCATTAGATGAGAAACTATAATTTATAACATAATAATGTTAATATTGATACTAAAGTTTAAAATTAATAATTGAATAATTAATGATAATTACCATTATTATTACCAATAATTGTTACTTTATTGGAGTTCACAGGTTGGGGAAGGTTTGTAAAATTTAAAAATCTGCTAGTATAAACTGCATTTGGATGAATTACTCCAGTAATTGTTGAAGGATCAAATTTTATTTTGTCCATTTTTTTAAACTCTTTTCCAAATGATTAAACCAATTATAAATAATCTTACAAATTTCTTCAGCATTTGGACGTTTATCTGGATTAGCATCCATGCATTTGAATGCTAGTTCAATATAGAATTTTGGTGTATTGTTTGAAAATCCAGGTCTTGCACCCTTACATATATTAATTGCAAGATATTCATCATGTGCAAAATTATTAAATGGTTGTTGACCAGTTGATATTACAGACATCAGAACTCCAAAACTGTATACATCTGATGCTTTTGTATATGGTTTCTCATTTAAAACTTCTGGTGCAATGTATGGTAATACTCCACATATATCATTTTTGTTTGATGATGATGTTTGACTAGCTGTGCATGATAATCCCAAGTCTGCAATCAATGAACTCAGATTTTCTTGAAGAATATTGCCACTATGAAGATCATGATGAATAATTTCTTTTTTATGAACATCTTTTAAACCATTAATAATTTTATAAAGAATTTCAATTTTATCTATCCATTCTAAAATTTTAAAATCTTTTGTTAAATAATTTTGAAGACTTCCATCTTCCATATATTCCAGTACAAATATATATTCTTTTGTAATTGGATCTTGTGTTAATCCATAAATATGAATTATACAAGATTTATCATGAAACTTCATATAATTTTTGAACTAAATAATAAACAAAATATTTAATTACAACAATAATAATCAATAATATTTAAAATTTAAAAATAAATAAAAAAATAAAATAATTTACCTCATTAAGAAATTCATCAGAAATATTCTGTGAATCATGTAATTTTTTTAATGCCACAGTCATATCTTCACTAGTTCTTTCATCATCATCATTTATATATTTATCACCATTTAACCAAGTAGCTTTGTATATAGTTGCAAACCCACCTTCACCTATCTTTTCAATATTTTTTAAATCATTATAAGGAATCCATTGAAGATGATGATAATTATTATAATAATTTGCTTCAAGTTGTGTACTTTTAATCAACTCATCTAATGTTTTATTGCCACTAGTCCATCCTTCAGTTAATAGTTTTGGATCACATGATTGACACCATGAATAATAAGTATTATATCTATTGCAGGTTGGACATTCTCCATATTTTTCATTTCTAATATATGGATCTTCATAATCTTGGAAACTTCTACCTTTCATGTATTTCATTACAAAGATATATTTATTTGTAGCTGGATCTTGTGTTAATCCATAAATATGATTTATAAATGATTTACAATAAAATGTAACATAATTTCTAAACTATAAAAAAAAAAATATTGAATATCAGAATAATATTTAAAAAATCAGAAAATAAAATAATTTACCTCATTAATAAATTCACCAGGAATATTCTGCGAATCATATAATTTTTTTAATGTCACAGTCCTATCTTCACTAGTTTTTTCATCACTATCATTTATATATTTATCACCATTTAACCAAGTAGCTTTGTATATAGTTGTAAAACCACCTTCACCTATCTTTTCAATATTTGTTAAATCATTATAAGGAACCCATTGAAGATAATAATCATAATCATATCTTGTTGCTTTAAGTTGTGTACTTTTAATTAACTCATCTAATGTTTCATTGCCACTAGTCCATCCTTCAGTTAACAGCCTTGGACCACATGATTGGCACCATGAATCATCAGTATTATATCTATTGCAGAGTGGACATTCCCCGTAATATTCATCCCTTTTATCTGAATATTCATCATCATCATTTTTGCCAGTAGAAGTATCGTCATGATGCTTATTTTTATTTAAAGTGTTTCCCATCTTTAACATTTTTTGTAGTTTGTTATTATATTGTCAAAAAAAAAATTTCTTCTAAAGAACTTTTTTTAGCTATGTTGTATGCGAAACTGTGTGAAATTGAAATAAAATTTCATTTTCACGCACAACAGCTACGAACATGCATCACAAATATATTAATACATTTAGATTTTTTTTAAAAAAATTAATATTAAATTAGCATTACATAAATTCGGCATGACATTCTGTCGTAAAAGTCATCGGCTGCAAAACTTTAATGTTGTAATTAT